TTCTCCCTCTGACCCTCCCCCCTCTCATGCTCTCTCTCTCTTTCTCATTCTCTCTCTCAAAATAAATAAATAAATAAAATCTTTTTAAAAAATGGATGGGTTTAAAAGGATGAGAAATTATGTTCGTAGAATTCACAGTTTAATTAGGAATGCCACATGACTGGACATTCTGTGTACTAATTCAAAGAAGTGTTTCTAATACTTTTTAAAGAGCAAGTGATTATTTGCTATAGGAAATTTTTCCTTCTTTTTTTAATATTAAATAAGAATTTGTTAAATATGACACCTGAATCAAATTTGGGGAGTGGGTATGTGTGTGGGAGATGGGGGGAAACAAACCTTCTCTCCCAATGAGAAATAGGGAGAAGATACTTTCCTTAAGGAAATAATAATATTTAATAGAGTGCTTGGAATTAGGAAATTACAAAAATCCACAGGGCCTTCTTTGAACATATCTTGCTTCTTTACAACAAAATCCTTATGCCCTCAAAATGTCCCATAAAAGAACCATAATCTGCTAAATTATCTGTAAATCACAAGCAGATGAAGGTAAAACAATAAGACCAGGCCTCAACCTCGCCTGCTGCATGTGTCCTACTAAGCTAGATGTCCGAGAGTGACCATACTGCTCTTATGAAACTGGTATAAAAAGTAAGCACCAAAAGATTCTTTGGTTGTTTCAAACTCATAATCCACATATAAAACCCAAGATGTTGTCTTAAATGTTTGTCCCAATAGGACAGTCAGGTTGTATACTCAGTTCAAAAAAAGAACTAAAAAGTTTTTAATTTGGGGGGGTGCTTAAAGTCAATGTAACAAAGAATATTCTCCTGCTTCTGGCAGGTGGCTAGTCGAGAACTGAACATCCCCCAGTCGTATATACACCTGTCTGAAACAAGCACCGTCACGGTGCCCAATGCTAGCTTCACGGCGGCGTCGATGGGGACAGACATCAACGGGAAGGCTGTACAGGTGAGTTTTCTTTCAGTTGCCAGTCACTCAGTGACAGTGCTGGAGGAGACCTTGTCCCACCCCTCCTTTTATGGAAGATGAAACTGAGTCCAAGAGAGGTCGTGTGGCTGGTTGCAGATTATTCAGCTAATTACCTGCAGAGCCAAGACTCCAAGTCCAGTTTTCTGAGGCTCTCATCTGGTGCTCTTTCTGCTGTCCTGGGCTGCTTTTCATAATTAATGTTCGGTTGCATGTAAAACCTGCAACTTTCAGCAACTTCCCGTTAGATGAGAGGATCCCTCCCTGCTCTCACACCAGAGAAGTGCAGAGTAATCACATCACTAACAGGACATCCTCATTCCAGGAAGGGCTTGACCTGTCTTTTAACCTCTCTAAGGATAAGTTTCTTCTTCTGCAAAACTTCACCCATCTCATAGAATCATTGGGTGGCTTGCAGAGATCATGCAACAAAGCCACCACCACCTCCTCCCTTCTCCCTACCCTCCAACCTCCAGAAAACCACTGATTGACCATTAGTCACCCACAAAAGATAAATGCCTAGAATTAAAGAGAAAATTTCAGCCTGTTGAATATGCCCATATATCATGTGAACCTTGGATTCCCAAAGTACATTCCTTGGAACAGTGGTCCCATGACATTCTCAGTGGGAAAAAAGGATTCTGTAGTCAACAAGTTTGGAAAATGTTGCATACAACATCCTACTCATAGAGGCTTGTGATGCATATTAGCATAATAAATGCTCTGACAAGTCCTGCAGTATAGAAACCTCTTTAACTTTGTTTCACTGTTTTACCCAAGCTTGCTTACCCATGAAAACATTTTCATTAATAAAACCCCTCCTAATATCTGTAGAATCAGCACCCAAGAAAAACAGTCCAGGAAGTTCTAATTTGGTTAAAACATGTAGGTGACTGAGTCGGTTTTTCACCTTTTATCTAGATTCTAGTTGCCTTGCAAGCACCGGTGGCACAAAGACACCCAGTGCATGGCTAGACATAGTTTCAGGCATTGATAAAGCAGACATACTAAAAAAAAGAAAAGAAAAAGGAAACTAAATATTTTTTAAAATATTTTTATATTTTATGGTGAAGAATCATCATAAAAAAGTCATAAATTTGTGTGACTTCTTCACATTTATTTTACTGATCCCACATTGATTTAACGAACATTTACAGAGGGCCTGCCATGTGCTAGGTAGTATAAGTGCTAAGGGTAGGTAAGCAGTAAGTGAAACAGGACAAAGTCCGAAGAGCTTGATCTCATAGAGCTTACATTTAAGCAGTCAATCAGTCCTTGAGCCAGGTTGTGAACACAGCAAGAAAAGAAGCCATGCAGGTTATTTGGGAGCAGAGGGAGCTAGCTTACTGTGCTCGAGAAGCTGCAGCAGGCCTGGGGGACTGGAGCAGAGAGAGCAGAAGGGAGCAAGGTAGAAGAGCTAAGAAAGAGAGTGGGGGGGTGAGACTGGGGAGTGTATGTTTATTCTTAAAGCTGGGTAAGGGGGCTAGTGCCTTATTCTCTCGACTTTTATGTATTTTAATTTTTTCTGTAATGCAAAAAAAGCTGGAAAATTTTGTATCTGGCATTTAGAGCTTCAATAGAGGGAGGTGACCCTACCAAGGGATATGAGTTGAGAGAATTCTCCACACAAAGAAAGGAGTTTGGGAGGTCACAAAAGAATGAAATTGTTCTCTGCAGAAGACCGCCAGACTGCGGGGTGTAAAGTTCTGTGCAGGAGTGCAAGGTCAGAACTCGATGAGGAGAAGAATACCTGACACTTGGGCAGGCAGGGACACTGTGACTCCGCTTTGCCTCACTGTGGCCCTCTTTTGGAAGGCACCCATTTGTAATAAGGTCAGTGATTGAAAGCTGAGTGAACCAGCAAAGAGATTTATGAAAACGAGGCGCCTGGGTGGCTCATTTGGTTAGGCGGCCGACTCTTGGCTCAGGTCATGATCTTAGGGTCCTGGGATCGAGCCCTGTGTTGGGCTCCCTGCTCAGTAGGGAGTCTGCTTCAGGATTCTCTTTCCCTCTGCCTTCCCCCTACTCACTCTCTCTCTGTCTCTCTCTAAAATAAATAAATTTAAAAAAAGAAAGAAAGAAAACAAGGATCTCCCTAACACGTGAGAAGCCAGAAACCATTTCCCAAAGAGGGCATGATAGAAGAGAAGGAGCAGAAACTAAGAGGGTGCATGAGAGGTGATCTGAGGCTGAGGCGAGTACATAAGGGCAGGCAAGAACAGATTCATGTTTGAATTAAGGGTGGAAGCCAAGTTGGGGCCCACTGATACCAGGAGTCAGCAGGTGTAATCTCAAGGGTCCAGGAACATAATTTTACTGATGTTTTAAAAATTTAAAAAGCACACTTTGCATCATCAGAATGACCACTTTATAAGTGGAGTGTTGCCATGAGATCTCTTTGCCCACATTTGGGACCAAGAAGTATACTTTGTGTTAAGGCAACAAGAAAAGAGCAGTGATGGACTTCATAAGTAAATGCTGTTTTTTCTTGCCCAGTGAATAGCTGATGATGGCAAGGTATAAAGTGCAGATGAAAATCTAGTGGCAAAAAAAAAAAAAAAAAGAAAAGAAAATCTAGTGGCGATTTAATAAGAAGAATGGAGAGAAATTTGCTCTGTTGGCTGGCACGCAGCGGGCACACTGAACTCCACCATACGTGGACGAGAGCAGCCAAGTTGGCCACATTCCAAGCAGCAATTCAGCTTCAGAGAAACAGCATCATCAACCAACTAAATTAATGTTGTTATTTTGAATTTTATTGGTATATAGATTGGTTTGTGTGCTTTGTCATTTTATTTTTGCTTTGGAGGTACAAAAGAGCTAACTCTAAGGAGACTCAACCTAGCTTTATGTCAGCATATATTAAAACAACATTATAATAAAAATAATGGGTTAGCCTGGTGATGGGTATTAAAGAGGGCACATATTGAATGGAGCGCTGGGTGTTATATGCAAACAATGAATCATGGAACACTACATCAAAAACTAATGATGCACTGTATGGTGATCAACATAAAATACTAAAATTAAAAACAAAACAAAACAAAAATAATAATGGGCATCAACATCGCAAGATCCACAAGAATATTTGTTTCCTTCAAAGGGATTCCCTACATTTACTCAACTTTAAGAAACTCTGCCTGGAGGACTAGCAAGCAGGTTCACAAAACTGACAGATTCCCTTTGAATTGGTTTGAATATTTAACATTCTGCTGTTTCCTGTGCCTTTTATTTCTGATGTGATTTCAAATATTTATTTTTAGAATGCCTGCCAAATTCTTATGGCCCGTCTTCAGCCAATCATCAGAAAAAACCCTAAAGGAAGATGGGAGGAATGGGTGAGTATTCTCTTTATTACCCCTGCCAGGAAAAGGCAGATACATCCAGATGGGCAATGGCCCTAAGTGCCTGGGCTGATGGGTGGTGCCCATTCAAGAAACAAAGCATTTATTAACATTTACTTCTGCCTTTCTGAAAAAGCAAAAGCGATGTCTGGATTCATTGAAAATTGACTTTATTTCAGAGCCTGATTTCTCACAGAGCACAGTAACAGCATGGGCTCTAAAGTAAAACACACATTAGGGTTACTGTCCCTGCTCTGTCACTACTAGCTCTGGGAGACAAGTTTCACCCTCAATGGTTTTCTCACCAGAGCAACAGAGATAATAGCAGTCCTACTATCAAAGGATTACTCTATTTTTAATACTAATTATTATTATTACCATTAGTATTCTTGTTCCTAGCCCTACCCAGGTTACTCCAGTAGGGAGACAGCCAGTGAAATTATTTGGGAAAAAAGCAGAGTAAAAGTACATACATATATAGACACACACATACACATAGAAACGTGTGTGTATATGTACATATTTTGTATGTAGATACTTACATACAAAAGTACATGAATATGGTGTAGCCCTCTCCTTAATTTAAAAACCCAGAAAGGGGGACACCTGGGTGGCTCAGATGGTTAAGTGTCTGCCTTCGGCTCAGGTCATGATCCCAGGGTCCTGGGATGGAGTCCCGCATCAGGCTCCCTGCTCAGTGGGGAGCCTGCTTCTCCCTCTCCCACTCGCCCTGCTTGTGCTCTCTCTCACTGACAAATAAATAAATAAAATCTTAAAAAATTAAATAAAAAGCCAAAAAGGGTTAAAAAATAATAAACTTTATACTGTGCAACCCAAAACAATAGAGGGCCTCCGAGCACAGCTAGCAGCTGCCCCTACACATCTCTCTGGAAAAGCATGACCTGTGGCTTGTACAAGCTGTATATCTCAACTGAGATGAATGTGGGTAGAAAGCTTGCTCCAAACAGGAGGAGGAAGGTATTTTTCATTACTTTCCCTAAATTTATACTTCTTTGTAACCAATCATCTCTTCCAGATTGCAAAAGCCTTCGAAGAATCCATCAGTCTCTCGACTACCGGATATTTCAAGTAAAAGACGTTTTTACTTTGGATTAGATTACAGCTGGGCAGAGATGGTGCATACTCATCAGTCCAAACAGATGCCCAGAGAGCCCAGGAGCTCTGCTGTGTCCCCGCTGTCAGCCCTCAGTCCTGGGTCATGGCAGGGAGGCCTAGGGACTCCACCAGTGGGGACACCATAGCTGTTGGCACACACTCGAAAACCCATTCCACTAACTGCCTGCTGGAGGGTAGGGGTCAGACAGTAGTGTGCCTTCTCCCCACGCCTGTGGTGGAACTATACAACTCTGATCACACACCCCCCTTGCCAAAGAAGGGGAGGGAGGCCGGCAGCCATGGGGTAGGTGCCCCATTTATCTCCAGGTCCCACAGTACAGTGGCGATGAGACCACTAGTGGGGAAAGGGCCTGTCCTTTCCACTGCTGATTTCTCTTCTCAGAGGCTACCAGACATATATGGACTGGGAGAAGGAGAAAGGTGACCCCTATCCATATTATGTTTATGGAGCATCCTGTTCTGAGGTTGAAGTTGACTGTCTGACTGGGGCTCATAAGGTAAAGAGCAACATTTGTGTTTACCATCTGCATAGTGTAAATACAAACATTGATGTGTTTTCCATGCTGTACATGATAATCAACTTGATCCTTCAGGTGGAAGAACCAGGGACAGATATATAATTTTAGTAAAGATCTATTTTAAATAAATCATATTTTCCACTATATATTTTCTTCTGGAACAGCTCCTTAGGACTGACATCTTCATGGATGCTGCTTTCAGCATAAACCCAGCCGTGGACATTGGACAGGTGCGTGATAACCAGTACCCTCGACCACAGGAACTTTTGATCAATTCCATTCAGAAAAGTATTTCCCAGAATCCTCCAAATGTTGTTTACACCTGGTGCAAGTACTCTGCAGTATATATTATATATTTTACACACACACACGCAAATAGATAAAATATTGGAAGAAAATTCAAGAAAAAGTTAACAATCATTGTCTTTGTATGGCAGGAATATGTGTGACTTATCCTGCTTTATAATTCTCCGTGCCTTCTAATTTTTCTTCATGAATATTAATATGTTTATAATTAGGGAACACTATATAAATACATAATAATAAAGTTACATTAGTATTCATATTAATATTAAATTTAAACAGATTGCAACTTAGGGAAATATAAAAGAAAAAGAAATACTTAAACATAATTTTTTGCCTCCTGATGAATTTAATTCTGATTTTGATCTTGCAAACAATAAAATTAATTCACCAAAAGTCTTTTTGAACTTTGAGTTAAAACCTTTCCAGCTGTTGGTATAGCTTTGCTTTTTTCTAGCCTTGTTACTGAAGGTGGAGCCAGTGGACCAGCCACATCAGTCCACCCCAGACCTACTAACCGGCCCCCAGGTGAGGCAGGGCAGCTGGTCCCCGGTGTCCACCTGAGTAGCATGCTGGAGTAGTTGAGCAGCTTGGCATCACACCTGACAGACACATGGTGCTTTCATCTGCCAACAGACTCCCAACATCCTAAGTCCTAAGAAATTGGTTTACCTGGGTTGGCCATTGGGCTTTGTAAGGAACAATTTTATTGATCCCTCTGTGCTTCTCAAAATGTGGTCCTCAGATTCTGCAACAGAAGAACTTGTGTTTATTGGAAACATGGATTCCTGTACCCAGGAATTCAGCCCAAGCTTAGACTTATTCCATCTTAACTTTCCTGGGCTGAGACAGAAACCGGCACATTTAACCTGTACCTGAAATTCATCTTAAGTCTGTAAAGTTTGAGAACCACAGCTCACCCAGTCCTTGCCTCCCCTTCCCTTTCTTACCCCCTCCTCCCAGCTCCTTTCTGCCTCTTTATTGTTTAAGCAAAGGCAGAAAGGGAGATGTCATGATCAGGAAAACCCTACATTTGTCTCATTAGAAAAGGAAAGAAAACTAGAAGTATGTTAGACTTGATCTCTTAGACTTTGATCTTTTCCTTTAGGGATAAGCATTTGGAAATATCCAAATATAGAATTTAGATTTGTATACGTTATTCCTTAATTTTACATTTTCAATAAAATGCGAACTATAACTCTCCTTCAATTCTTTAACCTCCAGGCAAACACCCCTCAAGGCTTTTTCCTAGGGCGTATTAGTTTGTAAATAGAACTCAACATGACATTTAATAAAAAATATTTAATTTAATAAAAGTTTTTTCTATCCCATCTTGTTGAACATTTATCTACTCTACATGGTAATTTATAAAGGGAAGTAAAGAAATCCAGATATTATAATAGCCTACAGTGTTCCATTTATTCTAGTTCATGTTCCTTTAATGTTAGCTTCTTTTCCCTCTAATTCAACAGACATTTATTAAGAACCTATGTACCAGACCTCATGCTAATAACAGAATACAAGAAGGCCAAGGCCTCAAAATGCTCATAAAAATGAGAGAGAGCAAGATGGAAGATGTGAACAAGGAAAATACCCTCTGAGAGCCACCATGATGGATGAATGTGTTCAAGATGCAGTGAGCCTAGAGGAAGTAGTTTCTAAATCCACCATGGAGGTGGTAGGAGGATCCAAAAGGCTCCAAATAGGCAGGAACTTGGAGGATAAATAGGAATTCTCCAGGGGGACAAGCTGAGGTGGGGAGCAGTGAAGAGAGTCAGGGGAAACCACAATACAAAGACCTGGAGGTCTGAATGAAATCTGGTGGGCTTGAGAATTACCCGGAACTTGTCCAGTGTCAGGAGCCTGGAGGGTGGGTCACCTGGGCAAGAAGAACTAGGGATGAGGCCAGGAGGGCAAGCACCAGACCCTGAAGGACCCTTTGTAAGTCCACCCCAGCCTGTCAAGAATGACTCACTATGGTTCGGAGCTCCATTTTCAGTCACATTTGAATATTTATTCAATCAATATCATGTACTTATAAGTTGTGAAATTTTTGCCTGTAGATTGAAGGAGCATTTATCCAAGGCATGGGATTCTATACCATAGAGGAACTGAAATATTCCCCGGAAGGTGTGCTCTACTCTCGAAGTCCAGATGACTACAAAATCCCGACTGTCACTGAGATTCCAGAAGAGTTCTATGTCACTTTGGTGCATTCCCGAAATCCCACAGCCATCTACTCATCCAAGGTAAGAAAACAAGACCTCTATATTAGTTTGTAGGGCTACCATAACAAAGTACCACTCACTGGGTGGCCTAAACAACAGGGATATATTTTCTCACACTTCTGGAGGCTAGAAGTCCGAGATCAAGGTTTGATTTCTTCTGAGACCTCTCTTTGGCTTGCAGATAGCCACCTTGTCACCATGTCCTCCCATGGTTATCCCCTCTGTGGGCACATGTCTGATGTCTCTCTCTGTATGTCCTAATTTCCTTTTCTTATAAAGACACCATCATATTGGATTAGGGCCCACCCTAAAGACCTCATTTTAACTTAATTTCACCTCTTTAAAGACCTTATCTCCAAATATGGTCACAGTCTGAGGTAGGGGGTTAGGACTTCAAAATACGAATTTTGAGGGAGCACATTTCAGTCTATAACAACCTACTCTTTCAAGAAATAATGAAATAGTCCCCTGAATTTACTTACTTCTTTGAATTGAAAATCCCAACAAGAAAAGGGAAAAGAAAAGCAAATTCATGGCAGAGTGGTGCTTATTGACTTCAGAAGACTGAGTAGACTCTTCACTCATGAGAGAGATCATGAAACAAATTTAATCAAACAAGAAAGATCAACATCTTGGGTCATTAGGCTAAGTGCTACCATGAGATAAAACTGAAATTGTAGGCAGATTTCACCAGCCCAGAACTTTCTTTTCTACACTCTTCTCACATGTTCTCCAGACTCAGTTCTTTCTTGTTTGTCTTCCTCTCTCCACACCTCCCCAAACTGGAACAGGCTTTCAAACAAGTTTCTATTTGCTGAGCTGTTAATAGTTGCTGATATAAGACCCTACGTTCCTTGGAGCATATGGGCTCTAACTGGCCCATAAACACCTATGGTGAGGCTTCTTGAACACAAATGAGCAAAAAAAACACAACTTCCCCCAACTTAACGTTCTATTCTGAGCCCACATCTGACCAGACAGATGGCAGGCTACCCTTAGATTTTTCAGGAAATTGCCTCTCCTTCTTAAAAGTAGGTCAAGATTGTTCCTGTCTGATTGGCCTCTATCTCTACTTCTGCACCAGGAGCATCTCTAAAGACCATCCTGACACAGGGTGCAATCCTGCCTTTTAGGGTCTAGCCACCTCCCTGCCAGTTTGCTCCAAATAGGACATGAGACCTTTCTGCTCTCTTCCTCCTCACTTCAGAGGAAACCCCTCCTTCTACCAGCTCTACCTCCTTCTACATTTGCTTTAGAGTAAAAATCAAAGCCAGGGATAGGCTTTATTTGCTTGGAGATAAAGGCCAATCTCCCCACTACAGCCCTGAGCACAGACCACAGACCAGATTACTTTGAAGGAAGAAAGAAGAAAAATCAGTACAAACAAGCATTGGTGAATCATTCAAAATATAATACCACTACAGTGTTAATTCGGAAACATCCAACACACACCAGGGAAGTTAGCACACATGCAACTTCAGCAGCTCACTCTTAAGAGTCAGCCACCTCACTGTCTTTAAAGCTCAGCTACAAAGATTGTGGTTGTTTTGTTTGGGTTTTGAGTTAAACAAAAATGGTCTGGAGCCCAAAGTGGAATATTCTAGAGTGCACCAAGGGCTTTGGTCTTTAGGATTTTACCTGGGCTGAGGAACAGGAGGTTTTAGCTGCCCCACTATCCTGATGTTGTGGGGCATTTTCATGAGCTACTTTGAGGAGGACCCCACACACAAATCAACAAGGGGCAGGGGGATTCGGTTCTGGCAATTCAGACACTCCATTCTAAGGATTATACAGCCAAAAGAGGTGAGAGAGTGTGTGCATGTGTGCGTGTGTGTGTGTGCGTGCGTGTGTGTGCACGTGTGCGTGTGTGTGTGTATACGTGTTTATGCGCACATCTGTGTGTATGCACGTGTGCGTGTGTGCGTGCGCACAAATTTGTCCCAAGAGAACCATGCATTTCTGACAGCCTTTTGCCCTCCTCTCAGGGCTTGGGTGAGGCTGGAATGTTCTTGGGATCCTCCGTGTTGTTCGCCATATTTGATGCAGTGACTGCTGCCCGCAAAGAGAGGGGGCTGACCACAACCTTCACCCTGAATAGCCCAGCAACTCCTGAGTTTATTAGGATGACTTGTGTGGATCTGTTTACTGACATGGTAAGGGTGGTGAGGAGAGGTCCTTGTTGTAATCACCACTTAGCTGGACTTTCAGGTTCTTAGTATGGATTTGGTAACAATGACAAAACCCCAGGGCAGGTTCACCTTTTCCAATGAAAATTCTCGCTCTGCCTCTACCTGCTACTACCTATATACTTTAAAGCAACTGCAAAGTGAGTGAACCTCTTCAAATGATGGTTTGTTTCAGACCCCAAAGAAAAGCAGACTCAATTGAGCCAGTGCTAGTAGCAAATCCACATGGTAGCTAACTTCTTGAAACATTTTATCAAAATGCAGTTGATGTGGTATTGTGATCACCTAAATAACTAAATTAGATGAAATGGATAATCTGATCTGGTCAATTATTCAGAAAGCATTTGTTAAGCAAACTAGTAAAAATAATTCAAATTAAAATATCAAAATCTGGGCACTCTTTGATATGCCTTGTAATGACACACTAATAGAACACAGTTTCATTTTCCATCTGCTGAAAATATGTCTAGAACTATCATTAGAGACTCTTCCTACTATTTTTGCTTACTGCAGCCCTAACTGAAGGTCTGGTATAATATTAGATTGCACTTTATGCCTTTGAAAGTACAGGGCTTCTGAATAAGATGCATCATATCCCAAACATAAGAAGTTTATGAGGCTAAAGAGATTTATGACTCAAGAACTGAATGAAAGGAATAGGAAAACTATATATTTTTGATAAGAATAAAATGGACGTTGACTTGTTCTTTTTTAAAAAACAATTTTTCTTCTAAATTACAAGTTTCTCATATATAACATTTTATTAATAATTATCTTCCCTCTTTTGATTTTTTTTTTTTTAGATTCCTAGAGATGATCCTTCAACATTTACACCTTGGTCCATCCATGTGTCTTAATCCTATGTTTCTCTTAGAAAATGAAAGAATACATGATTGACCTTAAAATTTTCAAACCAGAGCAAAGTATAGACAGGCTCCTGATTGTCAAGGATAATTTTAGTATCTTTTAGTTATTCTCTGTGGTGTAGGTCGCTGCATGATTATATTTTAGGACATAAATTTATACCAAAAGATATAATGAAGCTTAGAATAAAAAATTCTTCTTTTCATTTGTATTATCTTGAAGATCTACAACATCATGACTTTAAAACATGGTGGAGTTTTCATTACCATGGAACAACTCAAGAAACTACTCATGCTTTGTTCTTCAGAAATCTGATCGTCCCTAAAATCATCCAACCCCAAAATTCTCAGGATTGGATCCCCAAAGCCAGCAATATGATGATGATAACCAGCTCACCTGGAAAAATCCATGATTGATAGTGTTTTGCCAATTTCTGTGGTGTAAAGACACCCACCTTGGCCAATTCCAAGCCACTAACAATGAGGTCTCTAAACATGGGGTTGGAAGAAATGTCCATAATTGGCTTTTGTGATCTCCAGCACTGCAAGCCTACCACAATCCTCATGTTCCTACCACTGCTGTGTGGCCTGTTTAGATGAGGCTTAGGGTTGTAAACCATCCAAAGTCTCCAGCTGGTCCTCACCTGCCATGAGCTGTGCTCCTCCTACAGTGTCTTCCTCTCCTGGGAAACCACATAGAGTTAAACAATGATTTCAAATCATTCTGCAGTCCCTTGCTTTGACTTAGTGTCTAAAAGATGAAATCAGCACTACCTTCCTTTTGCCATTTCAGAGGAACCCAAAAGTCCTGAGGGGGGGTTTTTTTGTTTGTTTTTTGCGGGTTTTTTTTAGTTATTTCTTAGCTATTTTACATTGCGTTTTCCAAAGGAAATGCAGGGTTATGCCAGAGAAGATGTTTGGTCCCTATGAGTTTTGAAACAAAATAAACAATCTAAATCACTTGTTGGAATCTGTGTGCTGGATATTAAAGCTCTGCATTTATTAATAGTAATTCTGTGGTGGAAAAATAAGCATGAATGACTGTTCATGTGTGTTTGAGACCAAATTGGAGGAAGAGAAGGCTGGCAGTAGAAAGGAAAGGCTTCTTTCCAAACTAAAGTCTCACCAGTCAGTGTCTCTTATTCTAAGAGAAGCGTGTGTATATGTGTATGTGTCTGTGTGTGTGTACATATATTTTTAAATGTCTGTTTGAATTCATCCAATAATTTAGTTTGCCTAGAACCCAACCCACACAAACTCATTGTGCCAGACAGAACAGCAAAAATAGGATTACTGATATATTTTTCTAGTGGTAAAATAGGAAGACATATTTATCACAGACACAAATTAATTTTAAAAAGTATTATACTTCACAGACCATGTGGTCAAAACCTCTGAAAACGCAGAAATTGAATTTTTGCAAAATAAGTGTGATCACTTCAGCAGTACTTAATTAACTTGAAGAATTGGGTTTTGGGCTAAAGTATTCACGAAAATAGTACATTTTATAGGATAGCAGTTTCCAAACATAGGATTAAAATTCTAATGCCCTTAAAATTTGACAGTTTTTAGTATCTATTATATTAAAACTTAATCCATAATACTAATTTAGATAAGTATCTTAAAATTTAATTATTGACTGTCTAATTTTAAAGTGTTATCACAGTGAGAGTTGCACAGAAGTGTAAGATACAATCTTTCTAACCAGTGATCTGTAAATGGTCAAGAGCCCTTTCGATGATGAAAATGCATAATCATTATTAACTTTGGGCAAAACTGCCATTGCTTTTTACTTAGAAACCCACCATGGCTATTGCTTAATTGCGGGTTCAATAAAAGTTCATCAGAAGAGAAGTAACACGTGCCATGCTCCTTGCTCCATTGCACCTGCGAGGTCAAGGACATCTTACTTCTCCTGGAACAAAAGCTTATGAAGGACTGGTCTTGTACCGTCTGACAAAAACACTGGGCAAATGGAGCTGAGTGAGTAGCAGTAGGGAGGGATTTGATTTCTGTTCAGTGTCTTGAACCTGCCGACACTCACATGCTCTCAGGTTTTAGAAATGGGATTGGTCAAAAAGAGGGCTGGGACGGAAGGCCTGGGACATCTACAGTGTTTCTTTTGAGGAAAAAATCTTTAAATCCTCTGTACTTGATGCTTTCAGTGGTATACATTGGCCAAATTCCTCACAGTATCAGAACACATGGAATCACAGGCTAAGTTTTCTGGAAGCAGATGCCGAGACAGAGTGTGGGGAGCAGGGTGTTTTTCAGGGATCAACACCTGAGACAGGAAGGTAGGAGAAGCAGAATCGGGCAGAGAGAGAAATCAAGCAAGACCCTGGAGGCATCAGGAACTCAGCATGGAGCCTTGGAACAAGCACTGCCCCCACGACTTGTCCCTGTTAGGCTGAAATGGACAGGTCTGTGTACCCCTCAGTCACTCAGTCATGGGGGGGCTTGCCCCAGGAAGGGCACAACCTTGAGGAAGGAGGCTCTCTGCCCTTGAGGTTGACCCTGAGGGAGCTCCCTTCTATTTGCTAGATGGGATGCTGCCCAATTCATGAACTGTTGCAGAAAGCCAATTAGATCCTTACATTTACTCAGTTGAATTTTATTTTTTAACAGTATCATGTGTCAAATACATAATATAAAGTATCTTAAACTATGGTTTCCATCTTTTCATTATTTTGCTGGTTTGTTCATTATTTTTGCTGGTTTCAGGGATGAGTAATTTCATTTCTTCTCTTAATTTTAAGGTTCTACTATACCATTGGTTATACATTTCCATTTACTTTAAGAAACAAACACATATTTGAAAACAAGATACCAGTATTCACCCATGAAAAGTTACTCTCCCGGCCTCCTGCTCTGTCCCCATATTTCCACCATTTGCCCCGGTGAAATAATACTTTTGTAACTTTTATTTTCCCCTCTCCCCAGCAACCCCCAACCCTTAAGTTGTTGAGGCTGTGGTCTAGTTTAGTCCCAGACTATTAATTGAATTTCCTTTACTATATGACTCTTTCACATTTATATTATACTTTCCCTAATAGCCTGCCCTATCCACTTAGACTTCCTCTCCCCTTTCCCTTTCCATCTGAATTACTTTATTGTTTGATCCTTTTCTCAGATGGGTTTTGGTCTTTCTCCAGAAGGGAAGAGGATATTTCGCTTCACCTTCATGGTCCCCATTGCCCTTCTTTCCTCCCAGAAACCTCCTGCTCTCTAGCCGTGACTGCAGCAGCCAGAAGCTCGATGCTGGGAAGCAGGTGCTCACCAGACGCAGAATCTGCAGGTGCAGTGATCTAGAGCTAGAACCTGGGAGGAGAAGGTCAAAACAGTTGAGACTAGAGGGTCTGAATATAGGTGTTTAATGACCAACCCAAGAGTCCTAAAAGCGCCCTATTATCGGTCCGCTTGCCTGTGTTTTGCCTTTGGGTTTTGAAGAGCTCACCACAGAAGGCAACACCCTAGGGACACTGAAGTCATGGCCAGTACTTTTCCATTTACAGCCGTGAGCAGGATTTGTTGCAGGTTTTTTCCAGAAAGAGGTTTGTTTGGATTGTTGGGGAGGACAGTGTCACATGCAATATTAATTCTTCCACTGGGTAACGGGAACTTTTTAATGTAATTCTAAGACCTTTTCTTATAACAAACATAGAATCTCATCGGTCAATATATGTCAAGTTTCTCTCACCAGAATAATCCATTTTAAAATGAAGAAATTTAGCATTCCCTTTTTATAAAGGAAAAAAAAAAAACAGTGGTGGCTTTTTTTCCTTTGTCTTGACTAAGATCTGAGAGTCAGAAAACCTTGGCAGAGACTGCATGCTACCTTCATACTGTGGGCAACGTTTTGTTCACTCTGCAGTGAGTCATTTTTATACTGAGTTCCCCAGAACCCTGGGGCCTTCTGAAGGAGAGAAAACCAAAGGACTTCAGGCCTCACCCCCAGCCCTCTGGGCTAAGCAGTAACCCTTTTGTTTAATTTGTTTACACTTTACAAGATTTCATTCAAACAAAAGTTTCCCTGGCTGAAACAAGCTTGAAAAACACTTCTCTAAAGCCATTCAAGGTCAGATTTCAGTTTCCCAGCAATTAATGTATTTGGTTCCGTAATTCAAACTACTTTTATATCTTCCTAATTTAATACCGTAATCACACTTTACTACCCTAAAACTGTTCTTCTATGTTAAATGGCTTATATTTTTTTAATTTTTTATTGTTATGTTAATCACCATACATTACATCATTAGTTTTTGATGTAGTGTTCCATGATTCATTGTTTGTGCATAACACCCAGTGCTCCATGCAGAATGTGCCCTCTTTAATACCCATCACCAGGCTAACCCATCCCCCCACCCCCTCCCCTCCAGAACCCTCAGTTTGTTTTTCAGAGTCCATTGTCTCTCATGGTTCATCTCCCCCTCCGACTTACTCCCCTTCATTCTTCCCCTCCTGCTATCTTCTTCTTTTTCTTTTTTCTTAACATATGTTGCATTATTTGTTTCAGAAGTATAGATCTGTGATTCAACAGTCTTGCACAATTCACAGCGCTCACCATAGCACATACCCTACCCAATGTCTATCACCCAATTGGCTTGTATTTTATGTTGACACTGAAGAATTTATTCCTATAAGTATTTTGAAACCCCATGATCCATGCCTTTCATTGTCAGTGTGCGTGCTCCTGTCAATAGGAACCATGAGCTCTTGGTGTTCACTAGTTTTCCTCTCCTAGGGGCAGAGCCAGGTGGCGAACGGACTGTGGACCCTGAAAAACAATCCCTGTGTCACTTTTCTCCTAAATGGAAACAGCCATAAGAAGAGCCTCCGTCTCCCCAGGCTGCCTCCGCTCCATTCCTAGATCTCACAGAATCAGCTCCCACTCTTCTGTCAGGACTAGATGTCCCTTTCTCAGGCCTTCCCTGATCCCCCTCCCCAAAACAAAGCTAATTCTCCTGCTCTGTGCTTCTCACAATGATAAATAT